CATGGGGCTGTTGCTTATAGTTACGAATCAGGAGGTTGCTTTCAATTCCAAAAATACCAGGAGTACAGCTTTAGCTTATTCATCAAATCAGGAGTGGATGTGTACTTTGAAGAAAACCCTTAAAGAAACATTTTAAAAGTATCCATTTTATAATTGCTGTGAAGGATTGACACAACAAGGGGGAATTTCCCCTGAATGAAACAGAAAACCAGGAGTCAAAGTTCCTGTTTCTTCTCTCAGCCCTTCAGGCAGTGTGTTTGGAAATGGACAACCTTCCTCTTCACCTCCTGCAGAAGAGGCAGGGCAGCACTGATAATGGGAGTGTCCTGTGGCTTAAACTGTGCAGTGCTGGAAAGCTTTGAAAGCTACTGCAGAGATGCAAAACAATCATTTTACAGGCATCTGAACACTTATTACCTAGCTTTTGGTGTTGTATCTGTTATTTAACATATGGAGATGTTGGTATCAACATGCAGCAAAGCTATATCTTAATGGTTAAAAGGGTCTGTTTTAACTACAGTTAGTGGTAAATGTAATCAAGTAGTGTAGCTTTTCTACCAGTCAGAAGTGGTATCAAATGGTTCTGAGAATGTGGCTTGAGGCTTGTGTCTAAGTGTAGAAAGCACTCACTGCTTGGATCAGTGTGTTGCCTTCAGACCCTGGCTGCTTGGCTGAGCTCCTGCTTGAGAGCTGGTGTGAGGGTGCTGCGGAGGGGCAGGAGCTGATGAACCTGTGAAATGAAGCAGCAGAGCTGAAAAGAATGTAGACTAAGGGTAATCCTATTTTCAGGATGTGAGACTTGACTGTCCTGAGGCCAAGAAGCTAGGGAAGGGGGATAGGGACTGGGTGGGACGTGGATACTTAATGGTGGCAAAGCCAGGGGACACTGAAGGATGGCTATGTGTGGGAGGAGAGCAAGGGGAAAGGGCCTGAGGGGAAGAAAATATCCATTCCTTCTGCACCAAGTCCTTTCACTGACTACAAATCCCACCCAGGAGTGCCTTTGCCTCCCTATACAGGCCTGCTAATGGCTGGGAGGGAGCCTGCTGTGCAGAGATCCTGCAGCCCTGCCAGCAGCAGCAGGATGCTTTCCATTACACTCCCCCTCCATTTAAACTTCCAGCACTTGTCAAAACCATGCTGCTTCACTCAGAGCTAATTAAGCTGTGTATCAGTGGAGACAGACTTCAAAGCAGAAAAAAGTCATGAGCATGTGGGTAGGACATGGAAGGGTTTAAGCTATTTCTGAGATTCCTACATTCTTCCTTCCCTCACGCAAGGCATGCTTCCTTTCCCCATCAGCATTTACACACCAGCAATGGATTTAACTGTTACATAGAGTAAAACAGTTTTTCAGCTTGCTGTGTGGAGGGCTACTGTTTAATTCAAATCAACTTAGTACAGGAGTTAATTGCTGAGGAAATAGTGGGATTTTTTTCAAAGCTCTAATACAATGCAATTTTAAATCTCCACTGGTACTAGCAAGAGCATAAAATCTCACTCTGGACGCATACCATTTAGCAAGGCCACCTTACCGCCTGATATATCTGTGAAGTGGAGAAGCAGGACTGAAAAGAACGTGGACTAAAGATAATGCCAGACCATTGTCTGTTTTATAAATGGGCATGGCTTTGCTGAACAAATTGCAGTTAAATGACTGACACTGGGTGGAAGTCTGCCCCATTATCCTTCCTGTGCACCCTTGGCAGTGCGGCTGGGGGTGGTATTTGAATACAAGGTGGCAGATAAGTGTCTGCACTGAATGGTGAGCAGAGTGCTGACTGAAGCCACCTTGATTTGGACCCCAGCACAGCAAAGAGCATCAGTCTGTGCTTGAACCACAAGTGTTTAAGTATCTGTTCAGCTACGTCTGTACCTTAGTCTTCTAGGTTGGCATTGAGGTAAAAGTTTTAATTACGTGAGAATTTAATCACTAATTTGATGTTTTTCCTCTTAACTCATTCTTGGTGAAGCATCTTATGAAATCACACTAGTGTTATACTAGCCTTGTAAATAACCAAATATTACACCCAGCGTTATTTACCTGTAAGTGGATGCATACAAGTGAGTCTGTGGCCATGTGGAAGCCAGACAGTTCCCCCAGTGACTTAACTAGTGTTAAAGTTATTCTTAAAGTGCATTTCTGATTATGTACTCACTGTAATATCTTTGCTGTAGACTTCTAGTTAAATGCACAGTGAAGTCTAGGGGGAAGCCATTTAGGCAATAAATAATGGTCCACAGTGTAGCATTATCTGTCTTCTGCACTAAGTAGTGTTGGAAGTGGCTCATATGCCTTAATGGCGCTTGTGGATTGCACCTGCATAGGGGAAAAATACTACTTGAGTTTAAGCAAAACATGAGCTAAAAAGCATTGGTTGCTGCAGAGCTGTGATGTCCTAATGTGAAACCTTTGTAGAAGGGGAGTTTCTTGTACGTACCCCACCATGCTTTGCTTTGGGGTGTTTATATGCTGCCTTCACTAACTGGCTATTGCTGCCTCTGCCTGCCCTTCACCTGCAGGAATACTACAAGCACCAGTATTTGTCTGTTTGTAGCCTCTGGACAGGCCTGCAAAACGCAGGCAGCTCCCTTGTTCCTGCTGCCCCTCTCTCTATGCGACATCTGGTTATTGGTACATTTATTTATCAACCGATCACTAAATAAAAGAAGAGAAATGGGTCACTCTGGAAACATGCACTACTTCAAAAGCCCTGAGGCAACCTACTGGACTGAAGAGTAGCTTGAAAGGCAAAGTCTAATACACAACATCGCAGAGTCTCTTCAGCGGCCTGAGACTCGGCATGCAAAGTGACACAGAGGGAGTGATCTGTCTCTGGCTCATTTAAGAGAGTAGAAAAAGAAATAAGACATTAACCCAGTTTGAAGGAGGGGAGGATGCTGAGGCCTTCTGCTTTCTCTTCCCATTGTCCTGGTCCTTTTCTCTCTTGGGCCCCATGTTGCAAGTCCTATGCCTCCATCTGAAGAGCGCTGGCTGTGGGCTCCCTTCAGAGCCTATTGACGCAATCTGGGTCATTTGGAAAAGGTTGTTCAGGAAGGATCCTGCATCTCCCTGCTGTGCTGGCACTGAGTGCACTGCCTTCCAGGGTGTGTGAGGGCATGAGTTAGCCCCTGAATTTTGATCCTAAACTGAGTTTAACAGGCAACAGCTTGCAGACTCCTAGGGTGCCCCCTTGGTGTGGCCAGCTGAGAAGGCAGTGCTGAGGCACTGTTTCAGGGACACTGGGAATACTTTGTGGACACCTAGTAGATAAGTGAATGGCTGAAGTTGGTGCAGAGTATCCCTGAGAGGCAAAACACTCAACAAATTTGTTGAAAACTATGAAATATGTATATAGGGGTGCAGAACAGACTACATCAAATTTTTTAGACTTATCTGTTAAAAAATCCCTCCCTATTCTAAAGCTGGATTAGTACCAAGCGAGCTAGACATGCTGTCAAACACCATGGCTCAATGGAAGCCACTCTCTACCTGGCTCTTCGTATTCTCTGTCAATTCTCACCTCTTTTCTTGACTTTATCCTACGTATTCAGACATCAGTCAGATGCTGGTGGCAGTAAGTTGAGCTCAAACCAATTTTTAGACCACTGTCAACCTAGTCATGTGCTACTGTTAAAACTCATGGGCAAAGATGGAATACAGATACTGTTCCAGCCAAAAACCACAAAATACAGTGGCTCTGCTACTTTTAGTCTCTATGTTCAGACCTGCGCTGCTAAATAGTGAAGGTCATGAGTGATGAGTTTCCAAATCTGTACAGATGAAGAGTTGGTGCAAAGCTGTGGAAGTGGAGACTTAAGTTCCTCTCCTGACACTTTCTGTTTAGCTGCAGGCTTTGCTGCGAGATGGCTACATGCTCACTGCCTCAGTTTATCTATTTGTAAATCAGTAGCTTGCACATATGTTATTCCCAGACCAAAGATGCTGTGTAAGATATAGTCCATGCTTTAACAGCTCTTTTTATGCTTTTCTAAAAGCAAACCCCAAGTGCTTTCCACAGAATAAGAGGTAACTAAGTTCAATCTAAGGCTGGAATAATGGCAGTGTTGTGACAGTCTGACACTCTTGAGCTGACGTGTGCATGGGAGTTAGCACTCTACTTCTAGTAACTGCACACAAACTTTCTAATTCCTCAGCTGCTCTCCATTTTCAATGCAATTATTATGTAAATGACTTCTATTCCACATTAAAATGAATAAAGATCATAAACATGAAACCAAATAAGAGCCAGTAGCCTATCAAGTACCTGAAAGCTGGAAACTAGTTTTAATATGCTGCTGCTATACCTTTGATTTACCTCACATATCTGAGAAGTGCAGCAAATAAATGGTACATCATCGGTGTGCTGAACTTCTGCTCCTTCAGCGTGTGAAGTTGAAGGAGAGACTGACAGTGAGTTAATGATTGACTGTCAGCCATAGCTTGGGATTTCCTCACTTTTTTTTGGTGTCAAAAGCAACTTTCTGTCTAAGTGTTTCTCATGCTGCTTCATTATTCCGTATGCTGTTCTTGGTCTTGATCAAACCATTCTGGAGCATTTTGCTTTCCAAATGAGGGGCCTACATAGCGTTTAAATAAATCTTCCCCCCCACCATGATAACATCACAATATGCGTCGCTTACTGCAGGCCCTTAGCTTCAGCCCAAAAATACTACTAACGGCTAATTCATTCCTCACATGAGTAGGTGTAAGTTATATTATAAAAAAAATGCTTGAAATTGTTTGCCTATGACATGTCCTTCACTTGAGTCCCCAGTTAACAGCCTGGCTAGTGCCAGCCTCTTGTCAAACGGTAATGCTCTAGGAAATCCTCTTGCAAAACACTCTCGGCAGTAAAGCCTAGATTTGCTCTAATACACACTTTAATCTCCATTCCCTGATACTTCACACTGGCCGATCTAAGCTCTAAGTACAGTCCTTGTTTCAAACATTTCAATGTGTCTTGCGATATTAACTGACCTTTAATTGATCAGGTTACCTTAGCAACAGAGGAGCAGCTGGTCCTGCTATGGAGATTTCAATTGGATCTGACAGGAAGATTTTTCCTCTCATCTACATACTTCTGTAGTTTTCACCTTTGGGAAAAGAGCCTTTCTGCAAGCAAGAGGTTTCCTTATCTTGTCTCTTGATGTCTGTCTCCAAATATTTCTCACTTCTCTCTCAGTTCCCAGGCTTTTAATGTCTCTGTTCTTAAAATAGAGACAAAACACCAGTGTGCAGTATTTTTTCTGAAACGAGCCAGAAGGAAGCAGGTGAGAAGACCCTCTGAAAAAAAGGCAGCCCCGAAAAGCTGAGCTTTCGATCTCCAAACTTTACTTTACAAAGCTCCTCGTTATCGCCACGTTTATTAAAACTCCTCTTCCCATCTGCTCGGTTTATGTGTCTCCGGCTGGCTGGACTGTTCACGCGTTTCCTGGGCATTATGGTAATTCCCAGAGAGAGCAGGAGGCTTGGAGTTTGGTGTGGGGTAAGTGCCTTTGCTGTCACTTGGCAGAAGCCAGCACTCGCCTGCTCCTCAGGGGAAACTCGGCAGAAGTCGGACAGAAAAAAGGGCTCGGCGACAGCGTTTCAAACCGAGCTCGCGGTGCAAGGGGGCAGGTGAGAGCTCACCAGGCTGAATGCAGCCGAGCTTTTGCCAGGAGCCGGTTCTGTCCAAGTTAATCGTGAGCAGCTCGGTCCCGTGCTGGGCAAGCAGGCAGACGGACGCTTTTCCTTGCAGTACAACCCTCAGTGTTAGAAATGCCACGGCTGTGACAAAGCAGAGGTGCAGCTGTTTCTCCAAAGCTCGCTTGACCCTGTGTATCCTTGCTTGTGTCTGTATGAGAACAGGGGCTTTTCAGCCTTTTCTTCAGTCACCTCCATCTGGACCACGTTGTCCTTGGGTGGTATTTGTTTTCCTGAGTCAGGAGTGCTCCAGAGAGACACTCTCATTCATCTAAATCTGCTAACTGATTCAACGCTATGCACTTGTTACCTACTCCTATGGCAAAAATGAAAGCTGTGTTTTTGCTGGCAGAAGAAATGCATGGTCCACAGTTGATTGCGATAGGATCTTTTTTCCTCTGTTTAAAATGTAAGGTCTCATGCATTGAGAAGAGTCCATATGTCTAGATCTATACCAGTCAGTGTCTGATTCATCAGAGAATCTCCTTGGTAACTAGCTGTTCCTCTCTGATGATTCGTGTTATAAAAAAGCTTTCCTAATTTAAAGATAAAATACAGTGGAAGCAGGAAGAGGAACTATGGTATTTAGATACCTTATACAGAAACATATTTCTTGTGTGCATGCAGTTATACTGGATGTTTTTCTACGTGTGTGTGGGGGAAGCACTCTCTGTAAAATAGCATATTATTCCCCCCCCCACCAAGTGAGTGGGAAACACATTCCAGGTGCCCTGTCTCTGCTAGAAATCCTCTTCCCTGTTACAGGGCTGGTAACTCTGTCTGCCGGGTCGATAGTCTCAAAGGAGATCATGTTCCTGGTGTTCAATGAGAGACTCAGCAGTTCATGCTTTAACAAGATGTATTTCTGGCCCTGTGTAAGACTGATTGCCAAGTATAAGTTTCAGAAACAGTGACTTTCGGTGAGAAGTGTAGCCAGATTATTTGATGTTAGCTAGTAGCCCTCCTGCTTTGGTAACAAGAACCCTGCCTGACCCTTCTGTGGTGTGTAGCAAAACCCTTGTGTGCGCTCAGGCTGCTGAGGTCAAAGCAAAGGTGTTTGCTCAAGGGTTTTTTTTTTTTTTTTTTTCTGGGAACCAGCATTATTGAAAAACTTGGTTCAAGCACACTCCATTTTTGAAATAGGTTATAATTATGTGTTGATATTTAATTGCAGACTTTTAGTATGTAGAAAAGTAACCATTAATGATGACTGTTTAATGGTTAACTATTTATTTTTCCCTGGGGATTTCAATTTTGGGTCTTAGAGTGCTTTACAGACACTATATTAAAGTGGATGGGTATTACAGCCCCACTATATGGACTGGGAAATGAAAGCTGCTGAGGCCAGCACTTAAACATCATTTAAGTTAAGAATTCGGACCTGTGAGTGTGTCACTCTAGGAAACTTTGCCTTAATACATTTCAACAGAGTTAAAGAGATCATGCAACAGAACCAGGCTAGAAACAAGTTATCACATGGCCCATTTCTTATGCCTCAACAGCAAGAAAACCCTGACTCCCAGCTTGCACAGCCCATATGTGAATGGGATGGTCCCACCTGCAAATGCACAGCTCTAGCATGCTGTGAATTATCTGTGATAGTGTTATCTAGAAACTAGAGCAGGTGCAGTCAAGTTGTTTTCAGTTCATTTCATCAGATAAGTTAGGAGTCAAAAATCATCTGGAGATTTCTCATGCAAAATCATTACAGTGGACTTTGGGTGGCTTTTGGCACAGAGGACTGGGAGAGAATGAGTGGTGAGGCTGGTTCACAGCTAAGAGCGAGGCAATTCACGCTGATCTTCATATGCTTTATGGCTTTTGTGCCCTTTCTGTCCTGTGGCGCTAGTTCCTCTGAGTAAATAAAACAAACGTTAACAAACGCCTAGGTCTGAGATGTCTTTTATCTCTGCGGGAAGCTTGAGAACTCAGCATTAAAACTGAACTACCTCTGAGGAAGAGCGCAGCAGTAAAACGAAGCCTCCAGCATGTAATGCTAGGCATTATGCCCATTGCTTACTGTGGGTGTGAACCTTTTGGGACAAAACCTGTGTTGCCGTAAAGTGTTGTGACATCTTTAGTGTCTGGGCAGAACAGGCCCAGGATCATGTAATTTGCTTGAGGAGGCCTGATGCAGCCCTACTCAGATTCAAACCTGTAATTTCAAGGCATTTGAATCTTTCCCACTAAAAGCGTGGATAAATGTGCTTCCCCTACCAGCAGAGTCTAAAGCGTTCAAATGTCAATTTAGCAAGTTAACAAGAGGGACGCTGAACTGATTCTGATAAATGAGGGTTCACATAACCATGCTAACTTCCAACACAATTAATACCTATCAGGAACATGACCTCATTCTGGATAATTGAGGTTTTGAGACTGTCGGAGTTGTGATAATCAAGGTTTGACACTTTCCGTGTGACGGGAGCTCCTTGACGGGAGGAGAAGGGGAGCAAGGGGAGATGATTGGCTTTCCCCCTCCTGCAGGTGCAGATGGCCAGCTTGGTGTGACAGCATGTGTGCTGGGATGTGTGAGGATGGGTGATCACCTTGGCAAACACCCATTTCCTCCCTGCTGGGTCCTGACTGCCCAGGTGTGCTCCTATTCCCGGCCTGAAGATAAATGCAAGGGAAACCTGCTCTTGTGCCTCTTCCTTGCCTTTTAGTTTTCTTGCTGGAGCTTAAAAGAAAGAACAAAGCCTTTATTCCTGTCCGGTCTCTGTGCCTGTGTCCCTGGGTGGGAGGGGAGAGACAGCAGGAAGGAAAAGGGAGAAGGAAAAGGGAGAAGCAAAAGGAGCCTCTGAGGGGAAGGCTGGAGGGTATTTCCATATTGGTTTTGTCCCAAGGCTTCCCTAGACGGAGTGGGGTTGGGCGGGTCAGACAACGCTGGCACTTGGTGTCCCTGAGGACTAGTGCCGGCTGCGGAGGATGTTTGCTTGCACTGCATGGTTGTGGCCAGCCTCTGCAGTTTGGCTTCAGCACCTGGCGCTCCTGTCTGTGTCTATCTGACCTGCTCTCTCCACATGGGCTTCAGGGTGGGCACTGATTAAATGAAACTGAAAGGATGTGTGGCTGTGGCAGGACAAGCAAGCTGTCCCGGTGAACCAGTGCTGTCCCCTTTGGTCCATGCCATGGAGGCCTCTGGAGCAGAGTAGGGCAGCAGGAGCTCTTCCCATCCTGCCCTGAAGGTGGCAGCAGGACGTGCCAGCCTCACAGCATCATTGAAGGCCTTAGGCTGGGCAAAACAGACTTTTTTCTTGTCTGGCAGCAGGAGCCGCATCTGTCCTGAACAGAATGACTCCCTCTGGCTCTTGCTGAGCAACGGGGCAGTGCTGAGCCCAGTTTGCGGGTTGCTCCCTGCTGGTCACTGCGCTGTATTCGAGGGCTTCCTATGCTCTGGCCCCCGTGTGGCCCTGAGGATAAGGCTAAATATGTCTTCTGCTGCGTTATTCCAAAGCATTGTGAAGGAGGAGTGGGGCAGCGCGGACCCACGGGGCCATGGAGGGGCTTGTTCCTTGCCTGAAACCTGGTGCCCTCTGCCTTGGCGTTGTTCACCTGGGGTTGTCTGGAGAAAGCCTTTCTGCTGCTGTATCATCTCCTGTCTTGGCTCTTCTTGAAATTAATATTTTTTAATAAAAATGAGCTTATGTGTAGTGTCTTGCTGTTCCAATCCCTTTTATAATGTATTGCTGACTTGCGAAATGGAGCAAAGGGGGCTGCTGCTAGTTAGAGAAGGGGGAGCTGAACGGGTTCCTGGCGCTGGCCCTGCGGCCATCTGTCCCGGGTGGGCAGGTGGCCAAGTGTGTGATGGTGGAGAGGGTCCCTGCAATCAGTCCTGATTTCTTGCTTTTCTCCCCCTCAGCACAGAACACAATGTGGCTCTTCCATTTTATTTTGATTGCTGGTCTAATCATGAATCTGACTTGAACTTATAGGAAAGTCAGTGGCAGTCTTTCAGAAAAAAAAAGAGTGGGGGGGGGGAGAGAGGAAATATGCACAGTTTTAGCAAGTGTCTTTTTTTTTATGAATCGGGTCTCTTGAGATGAAAGCTTCATTACTGGGAAACAATGAGCCCAATACACTCTCAGTAGTACGAATGGGTTTCATGCATATTACAAAGATACGAGCTTATTATTTTTAGTCTGTTCCTGTAGCACCAGGAGTGTTTAAAGTGATAATCAATGTAATTGAGGAACCTAAAGTACAGAAAATTGCAACACCCTCATGGGTGATAATGACTGCAGCTATAATGCTGATGAAAGGTTGGGGGCTGTGTTTAGGCATAGATAAAAATAGAAACGTGCAGGGGGTTAATTCCTGTAGTCCTGACCCAGCCCTTCCTCAGGCTTTTCTTCCACTTAGCGTAGCTGGAGCTCCTGCAGCTGAGTCGTGCTGCAGATGGGCCAGACCGGGTGGCTCGGCACAGAGCCACCCTTTCCAAAGAAAATATGGTTCCAGACTTGGGTCTGACTTATTGCTGCGATGAGCCTGAGCCTTGCTGTGGTGGAGGCACGTGAGGAGAGCAAACTGCTTTTTTCCACCCAGATGTGAGAGCTCAGGAGAGGTAGTTTCTACCTCTCCTGGGGGTCTGGCAGGATTGCTCCTTTTCTAGGAAGGATGGCAGAGAACACGCTCTGCTGCAGAGTTTGGCAGCTAAGTTTGTTGGAGCAATCTCTACTGAGCACTTGCAGACCTTCAGAGGTTCGTAATTTGGCCAATTTGGCAGCTTTTTTTCTGGAAATAGCAAAAGGCACACGTTTAACACCAAAAACTTCCTGTGAAATTCCCAGCTGCTTCTCCTAAGTGCAGGGTGCTAAAGCTTTTCAGTTAAATGCTTCAGAGACTTTAGCATGGACAAAGCGCTGCATTTTATCTCCAGCCTTGTTCTCAGAAACTGTTGAGCTTTTTTGTGATGTTTTCCTCCCAGAAGTTCAGCTTGTGGCAGACACTCATCAGAAACATTTTCGGTCTGAGTGATATGGAAAGTGTAAGCGATCAAATGTTTCACAAGGGGAAACAGGAGGACCCATCGCTGTTGGAGGTGGCACTTTAGCCTCTGCTTGCACAGCCACAGCTACGTGTGGCTCCCACTCTGGTTTGGGGAACTGCTGGTCACCATGGTCTGACTTCAAGTGCTCTCTTACCTCTAGGCTATTTCACTTCTAACTTTAGCCCTCCTGTGACAGTTTTTTTTTTTTTTTTTGCTGTTTGCTCACGATTTACTGTGTGCTTTAGGCTGTTAAAAGGTAGGAAGAAGGAAGGCTGCAAATTTGACCTGTTCTGGCTGCTTCCCCTGGGTCAGGAGGAAATATTGAGAGTAGGGGAGGCCACCTGGGGCTGTCGAGCTCCTCTGGGGTGTGTGGCAGGGTGGAGCAGCTGGGCTTAATCCTGGGTGGTGATGGGCAAGAAGAAACATCTGTCTACTTTCTGGGGAAGACTGACTATACTCTTGAAT